TGCTCAAGCCTGAGGCCTGAGCCCCCCAGCACCACGCCAGGTGCACGCGAGATCCCGGGAAAGGTTCGTTTTTGCACAAATTGGACTGACCAAGGCAAATGACGCGGCATTAAAGAGGTCCCACACATACAAATAGTGATCACTCTGCTACATCACGAAATAATGCCATCTGCGGCAGCCTGGACCATTTTGAGCAGCTGACTCTTCCTACGCTGGCGTAGATTTTGCTGGGATTTACCTACCCAGCCCTCTAGCATATTCCTGCCGGTCAGTCTCCATCTACTTACTCCACTTTTCCAGCTTCCCTACACCCAGATAAGGTCACAAGGCACTGCTTTTCAGAGAACAATTTGTGTGTCTGCTCAAAACCTTCCTAAGGCTTAACAGCTAACAAAACGATGAGATAACTCAACTGTTTTCAAAGAGAACCTACTGAAAGGCAGAAGAAAACTAATAGTGTCAAAAAAAGAAAAAGGAAGAAAGAAAACTAATAGTGGCCCTTTATTGAATAATACCCCCCCTCCGGTTGACTTAAGTTAACCCAAAGAATCAGGAGGATTTGCTCACATTGAAGCGAGAAGTTTTAAGTCCACAACTTTGATGTTTTCCTGGCCCAGGGAGAGCACTTTCACAACACCAAAGCTTCTGCCCGCTTGACAGGGGGCAGGTGAAATCCGCAGCCACGCCTTCCTTTTTCCACGAATTCAAAGAACGTGAACGATGCCCAGCAGAAGAACCTTCAGCTGTGCATACTAAATGAACCGAGAAGCACACTCACTTTTAGGAACGTGGGACAATTTTAGTTGTATCGTCAGTGGAGGGCAGCATGCTCCCCACTGTCTAAACCCAAAAGCTTGTTTCCCTGAAGCCTTACTCCGCGCCCAGCGAAGCCCAGGGGTTCAGGGCTCCTCGCTGTGAATGCCACCCAGCGGCTTCCAACAGCAGGGGCTGAGCCCTGGCCAGACTGCAGGGCCACCCCGGACAGGGAAACCCTAAGCATGTAAAACTGCTCTTTCCGAGTTGGGCATCAACCACGTGTCGGACGTGGCTGTCCTCAGGGAGCTCAGCCAGACCTGGGTGCCTAAGGAGCCGGTGAACTAACGACCGCCTTGCGGGTGTGTCCGAAGCCCCGCGCCCTCCCCGCATGGACGGTGCAAACCCGCCCGGGCTGAGGCTCTCCGAGGGCGGGGCGCCCTTGCGCGTGGGAACCCCCGCGGAGCTGGTCAGCGAACACGGACGCGTGCGGGAAGCGCCGAGTTTCCGACTCCGCGGCCTGGGGATGGGCAGCGAACCCGCGTCTCTAACGAGTCCCAAGGACGCCGCGCTGTCCGCCCCCGCGCAGAACCGCCGCGGGCTTGGGTCTCGGAGGAGGAGGCCGAGGCCGGGTGGCTGGTGAACGTGTCCGGCGCCGCTTCCTCGCCTCCGAGCTCGGCGACCAACGCCTGCCCCGGCTGACCTACCCCCGGGGTCGGGGGACAAACGGCGCCCGGCGGGGTGTCGGGGCGCTTTTCCCCTCTAGCGGACTCACGTGCACGTGCAGGCGGCGCACACACCTGTGCACACACCGGCGCCCATCTCCTCGTCCGGTAACCGCGGGCAGCGAGGTTGCTCACCCGAGGCTTCCCGGGGGGTGCGGAGAAGGGAAGGCCCGCCCCCGCCCCCGCTCCCCCGTCAGCTCGAGCCCCGCCCCACCGAGTCCGGCCCCTCCCCTCCCCGCCGGCCCAGAGCGATCCCACTCACCTGGCGCGGCTGGAGGAGGCCCCGGGTTGGTAAAACGAGAAGAGGGTGTCGCGAACTTGGGCGGCTTAGCAAGAGCTGGGGCAGGGTGTGGCTGGCGGGGGCGCCACCTGCCGTGAGCCTTGGGGGCGCTTTGGGAGGCCCGCTTCCTGCCCTCCGGGTGCCCTGCTACCGGGCGAGCGGGGAGGACGCGCCAGCGCGGCGTTCACCTCCGGGCCTGCACCCGGCGCGGACGACCACCCTCCCCCGGGCCGCGCCCCTCCTCTTCGCTCGACCCCGCCCCGCGCCCGGTTGGTCCTGGATTTCCGGAGCGTCCTGGGTCTCTCCAAGTCCCCCAGCCCCCTGCAGGGAAAGGAGGGCTCCCAGATGTTAAAGCTCCCAGGGACTCCAAAGGATGGCCTCCTTGTTCCGCACAAACAAGATTCTTGAGAGGTGACTTGTCCCAGGGTGTCTTAAGCAATTTCTGTTTTAGTTTTCAAAGTATGGAATGTGGCTGGTCTTTCTGGGCACGATTCATAAATGTAAAAACTTTAAGTGGATAAAAATGCCAACTTGAGGGGTTAAAAACTCGAATTCAGGGAAGACCTGATCTTGTAGGTGCCGTGAGATCATTCATTTCCTGGTTAATGTTGCATTTCATTCTACTAGGTTGGGGATCCATAGTGGACCAAGCACCCAAAGGCGGCCTGTGGCTGGCCTGTATTGATCGGAAATGGACAGACCACCCGTTCCACCTAGTGTCCTACTAGTTGAAAAACCAACCAAACAGCGGCAACGGACAGGAAGTTTGAGCACCCAGCCTTGGGAAGCACAGGCTGGCAATAGACTGCACACAGGTCTTTAGTAAGTTCGTTTCCACCAGGAAACCTCCAAAATAGGCTTCCTGAGCAGAAATAAGGCTTCAACGGGGAGCTTTGGAAGAAGAAATTTCTCCAGATAATTTACGTAGGATGGTCCATAGTTGGGTTAGTTTTGGGTCAGGAAATCTTCTCCTCAGTGAGCCTTACTGGCTGGGGAAACGACATTTTTCAGGGAATAGGCAAGACTCTGTCAAATTAAAGTATGTATGTAATAATTTTTCCCTAACCAGACTGTAACCTGCATGATGTCAGGCAACGTGTTTTTCTTGTTTCCTGCGGTTACCCCTAGCGAAAGGTGCAGTATGCACTATCTACATAACAAATATTTACTGCAAACACATAAAAGCGTTGATGAATCGTAGAATGAGTCTGGCATTCCTGAAAGTCACTCATGTAACCCACATGTCAGCGAGGACACCCTGTCTATTCACAGTTCCTTCATACTAACTCAATTGCCTTCCACCTCCCACCCCCATCCCCTGGTACCTGCTCAACTAGATCACTGAAAGGACCCAGGTTTTTTCCATCTCTTTATCCACCAACCTCTGAGGGCTGGCTTTGCCTCCAGGCCGGCTCCTCTCAAATTAGCGGCTTACGGTAGTCTGACCAGAGCTGATATGTTTCTACCAAGGATTGGACTCTTTCCACTTATTCATCTATAGGATGTTTGTCCCTATCTCTCCATTTATTTACGTCACCTCTCATTTCTCCCAGCAATGTTTTACGGTGTTCAGTATTATTTTGTTAAATTTATTCCTACATGTAAATCCCTACTGTAAATAGTATTTTTATTTATGATTTTGTTGACCCTGTTGATCAGTTTGGGGAGAACTGACATCTTAACAATAATGAGCTTTCTGATCCAAAAACATGGTATATCTCTTTATTTATTACGTCTGCCTAGTTTTTTTCCATCAGTGTTTTGTAGTTTTAGTATATAGATCTTGCACATATGTTCTTTAGACCTATACTTATTTCCTGTCTTCTGATGCTATTATAAATGTTATCTTAAAAGAAATTTCATTTTCCAGTTGTTTGTTGGTAACATATAAAAATGCAATTGATTTTTATACGGACCTTGTAGCTTCACAATTTCTGAATTTATTTATTACTTTTTAAATAGGTGATTAAAAACCTTAACAGCTTTATTGAGATATAATTCATATACCATAAAATCCACCCTTAAGTGCATAATTCAATACTCTTTAGAATATTACAGAATTGTGCAACTACCACCACCGTCCAAAGGAAGAACATTTTCATCATCTTCAAGAGCAGCACTGTGGTCGTTAGCAATCACTCCACATTCCATTCAACCCCACGCCCCCAGCCCTAGGCAACCACTAATCTACTTTACATCTATAGATTTGCTTATAGATTTCCTGTGAATGGAATCATGTTGTATGTGGCCCCTTATGACTGGCTTTTTTTACTTAGCATAATGTTTTTCAGGTTCATCCATGTTGTGTGTAGTTCATTCTTATTAAGGCTGAATAACATTCCACTGTATGGCTATACCACATTTTGTTTATCTATTTGTGAATAACTTTTTTGAGATGTTTATTGGGCTTTTTCTCCCAGTGTTTCCTTGTTGCCTTATTTCCATTCAAACAGGTATCAGGCTTTTTAGTTCATTTGCTCAGAAGGGTCGCTTGGCAGCACAGAAAACAGAGGTAGTTTACAAGAATTCTTGGTCTTGACCTCTAAAAACTCATTAAGTAGAATAGGATTTGAGAAAGGGGGCTCTACCCTGGACTAGAGGAGGGATTTGAAAGACACCTCTTTGTTCCCTCAAAGTGCGCTGGGGAGACGATGTTCTCTAGGACAGGAATGTTAGACCACAGGCGTGGGCATCTCAACCTCCCCAAAGGTTCCAATGCCCCATACCTGGCACAGAACCCTCATCAAGTGGCCAAAAGAAACCGTGTGTCTTACTGGTGACCTGTGTGGGCAGATGACAGAAGGATGGAGGAGCCAGTGCTTTGCAGTGTCTGAAACCCTGGGAAGTTCGTACACACCTAAGGCAGAGCCACAAGAGTGATTGGGGTTGAATTTTCTACTAGCCCTAATGTGGGGGGTACCCAGAGGGAGATTAATGAGATATGGTAATTCTTGCACACCTGATTTTGAGGCCCAAGATTAGTCTATGCTACACTCATTATGTGAGTTCACTGAAATCAAGACTACAGTGCACATTCTATACACATCAAATATAACTCAAACATGACAGGACAGGACACTCTACTTAGAAAGATGTTTTATATGGTGCCTTGTACCCTTAATCCGTCAGTTTTCAAAAGATAGTTTCTGTCTGACCCCTTTCCAATTAAGCAAGACAAGCTTATTATGCAACATAACATCCTTTAACTTTTTTCCCCAAAACAACTTGTACCAAAGTTTAAATTTTGGTAAAACATAGTGCTTTTAATTTTATACTTTACATTGAACTGACAAATTATCTCACAGCCACAGAAAAATAAATAAATTAGGTAAAACACTGAAAGTAAATTAAGAAAAAGCCAATAGGTTTCCTCCATTATTTATACCCAAGGATCGTGACTCAGTCGATACATAAATAACAAACTGGCCAGTCACAGAAAGGGGCGTTGAGGAGTACTGGCTCATTGTAGCCACCTCAGGGAAGGACCTATAAGTGCGGGACCCGGGGACCCAGATCTTACTCGGTGATGGACGTGGAAAAGGCAGGAGTAAAAGTCCTCCGGGGTTTGCTTTTGGTAGCGTCATAAGAACGGACTAGTTCTTCCTGAGAAATCACAGCATGTTCTACTTGAGAAAATGCATACCCACCTAAGAGAGCAAAGCACAGGGGGCTCTGTTAGACGACTAATACATACAAGTGAACATTCTGGTGACAGACATCAAAACTCCCACTGGACTGGGATACAGAGGCTATGTCAGCCAGGCCAGTGACGGAGGCAGGTAGTCTGGGGAGGGCTTGGTGATGGTGCAATTTGCAAACCTGGCTGCATTAGAACCACTGAAGAAGCCTTTTCTACAGCCTTCTTTCTGGGGCCACAATTGATTTGTGGGTGGCTGGACATCGGTGTGTGCTTTTTGAAGTCCTCCCAGGGGTTCTGATGTAGTGCCAGGCCCTACATGAGAAACGTGTCCTGGAGGATGCAGCCTGGCTGAGGGGCTGGGTGGCTCATGCCTGTATATGGGGCTTGTCTGAGCAGCTGAAACCGTGGCCCAGGGTCCCTCGTTTCATTTTCCCACCACCATTCAGGAGGAGAGGCCCTAGAAAGGTCTGAGTCTTGAAACTGAAACTTACAACTAGAACCCAGAAAGGTAGTTTATGAAGCTGAAAACATGTTGGGGGACAACAGACAATATTAAACTTGGTAGAGAATCCATAATGCTGGAAATATTCCTGTTTTTAGATATAGCATTCTTGGAATGAATCAGTGAAACAAAAAAAATCCTGTTCTCATGGAGTTTACAGTCTAGCCACGAAGACAGATAATAAATAAGAATGCAATAAAAAGTGAACAATATAGCACCCAAGAGTGTGCTATGAACAAATAAAAAAGTAAACTGGAATCAGGGGTGAGGGCTGTGTAACAAGAGAGCCGTCAGGGTAGGCTTCATTGAGAAGTTGATATTTGGGCAAAGGCTTGAAGGAAGTGAAGGAGGGGGCCCCACAGATGTATGAGGGATTCGCTTTCTAGGCAGAGCTGCCAGCCAGTGCAAAGGCCCTGGGGCAGGAGTACTCCTGGTACAGTGTGAGGAGAGCACAAAGGCTGGAGTGGGATGAGGCAGGAGGGAGAAGGGTAGGAGACAACACCAGGAAAGTGCGGCATCCAGATAAGTCAGTCTTCTCGGGCACTGGCAGGCTTTTACGTTGAATGTGATGGATGGCCATTGCAGGGTTTTGGGCAGAAAATCGATGTGCTTGGGCTGACATAATTTTAATGCATCACTTTGGTTGCTGTCTGAGGGGCAAGGGTAGAAGCAGGAAACTCCTTAAGAGGTTTTTGAAGCAGTGTAGACATACGACAGTGGTTCAGACCATGTGCCAGCAGTGGCGTGGGTAGGTGGGAAGTGACCAGACTGAATATAATGAGATGGCAGAGCCAATGCAATGGAAAGGAAGAATTAAGAATGACTCCAAGGGACTTCCCCGGTGGTGCAGTGGTTAAGAATCCGCCTGCCAATGCAGGGGACACGGGTTCAATCCCTGGTCCGGGAAGATCCCACATGGCGTGGAGCGGCTGGGCCCGTGAGCCATGGCGGCTGAGCCTGCGTGTCCGGAGCCTGTGCACACATGAAAATAATATAGTATTGTAAATCAACTATACTTCAATTAAAAAAGCAATACATAAATAATAATTTTTTTAAAAGTAGCAAGAATATATTATACAGCACAAGGAAATACAGTAGTTATTTTGTAATAACTTTAAACGGAGTATAATCTGTAAAACTACTGAATCACTATGTCGTACACCTGAAACTAATATTGCAAATCAACAACACTTCAATAAAAACAGGAAGATTCACTTCCCATATCCCATAACCCTTATACACTACACACTAGAGAACACATGCTTCTTCAGAAGCAATAAGGCATGGCAAACTTTCAGAGCCCGTGAAAAATGCAGTTATGGATCTCTTCTTGGGTCCATTTTCAGGAAAACAGAGGCCCTGCTGCGGGGCGCTGTGCCAGTGTGGCTGTGAGGACGGCAGCCCCCCGGAGGCAGCACGGCGGGCTGCAGTGTGGAAGCCACGGCCCCGCTGCCCCCAACACGGAGAGGAGGGCGGGGACGGGTTTCTTTCACGTTATTTTGTTCATGTGGAGACAATGCTAGTGAAAAGTTTTCTTTCTCCACTTGCTTCAACCACCAGTGCTAAGTGCAGCCGAGACACAAAAGGAAAGAGCGCGCGTCTGCGAGAACAAGGCCCTTCCCGTCCCTTAGTGGGATGTCAGGAAGGCAACAATAGCCTTGGGACAAGATTTCCCGTGTCAGGAGGAAGACAGCTCAGAAGCCCAGAGATTTCTGGTGCCTTTAATCACCAGGAGGGTCTGGAGCCGGCAGAGATGCACTTCAGTTCCAAACAGGATTTTTTTTTTTTTTTTTTTTTTTTGCGGTACGCGGGCCTGTCACTGTTGTGGCCTCTCCCGTTGCGGAGCACAGGCTCCGGACACGCAGGCTCAGCGGCCATGGCTCACGGGCCCAGCCGCTCCGCGGCATGTGGGATCTTCCCGGACCGGGGCACGAACCCGTGTCCCCCGCATCAGCAGGCGGACTGCCAACCACTGCGCCACCAAGGAAGCCCAGGATATTTTTTTTTAAGCACAGATTATGTCAACAAATTATCATGATATCATGACAAAAAATGTTAAGCAAAAATGTTAAATCGATTTTATGTGAGCAAACGCTTAAAGCAGGATTATGTAACAGTATTTTAAGTGAGATAAATACAAAAAAAACCTAAACTATCAAGCTCTATGTCAAAGATAAGATCGAACTCCTCAAGTAAAGAAAGCGTTATCTCCTTTCTTACCTCAATGATGTATAACACAACATTCTTGTACAAACGATACAATATGCATTTGGTCACTCGAAAATAATGCCAAGTTCCATGAACCAACAGAAGCTTCTCTAAGTAGCTAAACTAAAAGACAGAAATAATGGTCAATGGAGTTCAAAGGAACCTACCACTTACAGACAAACTCCACAAAGTGTTGTTTTCCCAGCTCAGCAGTTCCCACTCTGGAGGACAGAAGCAGAATGAAACCTATTCCCAGACAACCTGACATGACTATTCACTATAAAGGAATTTTGTTAAAGCTTGATAAAATTAACTTTTATCATTAAAATAAATGAATAAACATCACTTTTTTGCCCAGCAAATTCTGCTTGGATTTTCACTTGTCACCTACAAGGCTTTGAATTTAATCTGATCCACATCTAGGACCTTAATCGTGAGAAGGGGGTCAGGATTATTTAATGAAGTAAGAACCTGGAAACAAGAACCTCTGTCACGGATGTTTCTGTCTGATCAAGTCTTATAGGAATCGTAAGACTTATGGGAATCACTTCCCCCATTTCCTGTAATAAGTACATAAAGAGAAAAAGTAAAATTATAAAGAAGGTAACGTGTGACCTCTGCAGCACGCCTCAGCTGCCTTACCTCATCTATGTGTTCCTTTTCCACAGCACTTTGCACCTTCAACAAGTGAGCAGGGCTCACTGCTCACTCACTGCTTACACCCAGGATTCATGCCTAAGATGTGGGAAGCACTCAATAAACATTTTGGGGGATGAATATTTGGGAGAATTATTCCACAAAATGAGACAATTCAGTAATTGTGACCACAAAAATTAAATACCTCCAAGTGGCATAAGGTGGTACATATGGGGAAAAATAGCCTTTCAGAAAAGACTGCTTAAGAGTTTGGAGGGGCTTCCCTGGTGGCGCAGTGGTTGAGAGTCCGCCTGCCGATGCAGGGGACACGGGTTCGTGCCCCGGTCCGGGAAGATCCCACGTACCGCGGAGCAGCTGGGCCCGTGAGCCATGGCCGCTGAGCCTGCGCGTCCGGAGCCTGTGCTCCGCAACGGGAGAGGCCACAGCAATGAAAGGCCCGTGTACCAAAAAAAAAGGATTTGGAACATGAGAGTCAGGATGGTGGGGGGAGATGCTGAGTCATAAAGTGTGCAGCTACACTGAAATAAGTGAATTCAAGAAGGCGGCCAGCTTTTGTTTTTGCCTAGAGCTTGCTATTAAACCAGTCATCATAGACAACACTCCTATTGCCCCAATTTTTAGCTTTGCACTGATTTATCTGCAGGGGGGACAAAGACATTTGAAGTCAAAGTTGCATTTCCTGGGATGGTTTTAAAATATTAAGAAGTTTAGGGAGGAAGAAACAAATACTCTACTCTTTTCTGAGAAGAAAAAGATTTAGGTTGTGAGCAGAATATTACACTGATCCTCTGAGGAAGGGAGAGTCGTGCATTGCAAGAGGCAGCAAAGGAAAGACGGCTGGACCCTCTGCTCCAGCCCACCTGAGGCGGGGTGGGGGTGGGGGGGCAGATGGGGAGGAAATGGGAGAATGGCCACTACGGCCCTGGGAACGAGACTCATCCTGGGGGAGTATGAAACAGCCCACACCGTGGAGGACACCCTTCTGCCCAGCTCCGGTCAAAGAGCTGCTCTCAGGTAAAATCGAGATTGAAAAACAAACAACAAGAAAAACGGATGGAGCTCAAAGTGTTTTCATTAACCTGAAATAGCATTTTAATAAAAAGGGGTCAAAGCATGAGTCAGATCAGTCTCCCGCATTAGTGACTGGCTTGGTGAGGTGACTCAGGGCGGGTGGAAGGAAGAAAAGAAAGCCTGGAATCCTATACCATCTGCCTGATCACAGCTGCAGCTGCAATTCTAAACCCTTTTAATATTTGGTATAAGAAGAGAACTCTGGAATTGCCTTCCCTAGAGAAAATGGTGAACAGATATTCCCCGGGGGCCCAGGACACCTGACTCCAGCCAGCTGTGTGCAGCTGGGGTGTTTACTAGGTCAGTGTTTACAGCACATGTAATTGCTGAGCTCACAGGAAGCATGAATCCCAATGGCATTGAGCGAAGGGAACAGGTGAGTGTGGTGCGAACACTCCTGTGTTTACAGACAGGAGTGCTTTGATGGTAATCCACTGACACTTTCCTTAACTCAGACCCCTCGTACATAGGAGCCCCGGTTTTCCCATCTATAAAACCAGGACACTTAATCCATGAGTAAAGAGAAGATTCTAGAACTGACCTGAATCAGACATCGAGACCGTATGCTTTCCATCTATGTGGCAAAGCCCTAATAATCCATGCTGTTACCACTCTAGTTTTAGGCATCCACGTACCTTTGGACAGACTACTAAATCAGCTAGCCTCTCAGGGACAGCCACCATAAGAACAGCCCCCTAGGGATGGCCTACCTAGAGGCCCAGGGTTATTCCTAGGGAGCTGCTCAAGAATTACATGTGGTTCCTGAATCCTGCAAGAATGAGAGTGTTACTGCTCATTGCTCAAATGTGATTTAAAAAAATTATGTCTATTAAAAGCCAATATTAAATTATTAAAACATTGTTCCAAAAATATCTTAATTGTTCATTAAAATATTCTTCAAAAGTAAAAATATTAAAATGTAGACACAGGAGGTGTTCTTGTTAACAGCAAAGGATGGTGCATAAACATGCAGGAGGTTTAAATCATAGGACCATGCACTCTTCTTAAACACCTTCCCAAAAATACGACAGCCACTGTGGAAGACAGTTTGGCATTTTCCTACAAAACTAAACATACTTTTATACATACCATACAACCCAGCAATTGCACTGTTTGATGTTTACCCAAAGGAACTGAAAACTTCTGTCCACACAAAAACCTGCACACTGGGACTTCCCTGGTGGCACAGCGGTTAAGAATCTGCCTGCCTATGCAGGGGACATGGGTTTGATCCCCGGTCCAGGAAGATCCCACATGCCACAGAGCAACTGAGCCCATGCGCCACAACTACTGAGCCTGTGCTCTAGAGCCCACATGCCACAACTACTGAAGCCCACGTGCCTAAAGCCCGTGCTTTGCAACAAGAGAAGCCCCCGCTCGCCACAACTAGAGAAAGCCCGCACTCAGCAACAAAGACCCAACGCAGCCAAAAAAGAAGAAACCTGCACACTGATGTTCATGGCAGCTTAATTCATAACTGACAAAACTTGTAAATAACCAAGACGTCCTTCAGCAGGTGAATGGATAAACAAACTGTGATACATCCAGACAATGGAATATTATTCAGCACTGAAAAGAAATGAGCTGTCAAGGCTTAAAAGATCTGAAGGAACTTTAAATGCATATAACCAAGTGAAAGGAGCCCATTTGAAAAGGTTACGTTCTGTGTGATTCCAACTATATGACATTATGGAAAAGGCAAAACTACGGAAACAGTAAAAAGATCAGTGGTTTCCAAGGTTTAGGGCAAAGGGAGGCATGAATGTGTGAAGTGCCGAGGATTTTGAGGGCAGTGAAGCTACTCTATGACACTGTAATGGTGGACATGTGTCACTGTACATTTGTCCAGACCCACAGACTGTACAGCACCAGGAGTAACTCCTAATGTAAACTATGGTGGGTGATAATGACCTGTCAGTGTAGGTTCATCAGTTATAACACACGTCCTGCTCTGGTAGAGGATGCTGATAACAGGGAAGGCTTTGTGTAGGGGGGCACGGGGATATATGGGAAATATCTGTACTTTCTGCTCCATTTGCTGTGAAGCTAAAACTCCTCTAAAAACACAATTTTTAAAAATGCCTGCCAAGAGGCAGTGTCTCCAAAAAAAAAAAAAAAAAAGGAAATAGGGATATTTTAAGTCTTTACCAAGAGACGCCACAAAGCAAAGCACACAGTACAGACTGGAGAGACTGGGGATTTGGAGGTTATATTAGTAGAGCTACAGATTCTCAGTGGCAGCAGTTTTGCCAACTCCAGAGCTGGTAATGGGGAGATTTTATTTATGCAAAGTGCACAAGGACAAAACTAAAGAGAACCCCAAATGTTGTCATAGGAAAGAACCTTTGCATCCTATTACAAGTTCATCACTAGAGGGACGTTGCCTAGAAGCTTAAATTACACATAACGGCCCATCTCTGGGACCCCTGCCCCCCTGGTAATGAGCATTAAGCTAAAACACCTTTGTTTAGCTCACAGGGAACATCCTGAGCAGGCCCACCTATGAATGACTGCAGGAGGGAGAAATTCACACAGCCCCTCCAGAGGCTGACTAGAACCCAGAAGTGTTTGACTTCTCTCCCTCCCCTTTCAGTATAAAAGAAGCCTGAATTCTAACCCAGGCAAGGTGGTTCTTTGGGACACAAGTCCAGCATCTTCTTGGTCTGCTGGCTTTTCAAATAAAGTTGCAATCCCTTGTCCCAACACCTTGTCTCTCCATTTATTGGCCTGTATGTGGCGAGCAGCATGAGCCTGGCCTCGGTAACAAAGTGCTGGTAGCTTCTTACAGAAAGGAGCTTAGAGGGTGGGGTACACCTCGGGGGGTGGATCCGAGGTCTTCAACCCTCTCCACGCCCACCTGACCACCCACGCCACTGGCCTGTGTGATGGTGTAATCCGAGTTGTTGGTGGCCTGCGTGCCCTCGTTCCCCCTGATTCCCACACCCACGTGGGCCGTCTGGATCATCCGTCCCCGATGGCCAGGGTGCTGGCCTTTCCATGTTTCTTAACCATATCTACTATCTCAGCCTTCTGGAGGGGAGATAACCTGGAAAAAAAAAAAAAAAAAAGACAAACGACCATGTTTTAGTGTTCTGTTTTGGTTCATTTTACCTCATCCTGTTCTGAAAGGCTTTACAAAGGAGTCAGCAATAATCTACACACAGCCACATTCAAATGGCAGTTACTGGTAAATTTCCCAATTCATTAAGTAAGCTTTTTACAGATATAAGAAAGTTCCTACCTACCCCCACCAAAAACAAAAAGCAGAATAAAAAGTAAAACCAAAAAAACACAGAGTCACTGCTTTAACATTCCCAAAGAAATACACAATATTAGTTGCCCAGTTTACATGGAGTTTGCCATTTTCCCCACCACTGCCTGTTGTCTCACGCTGGCCTGCTATATTAATTTACATTATCTACATACGTGAGAGGAAGACGTGGAGGGCTACTATTTCTGAAACTGTATGAAGGCATGTACCCAAAGACTGGAACACAGAGTAGCCTCTGAAAATCAAACTACTTGAAAAATACAAGGAGACATAAAAACGAGAAGGTTATCAGTCGGGAGAGTCAAGGTCATGCTGTGGAAACAACAGCAACAAACAAAAGCTAAGTGACTTAACAAAAGTTTGTTTCTTTCTCCTGTGATGTGTCCGTTGCAGATTAGGGTACGTCATTGATACCTTTTTTTTCGGAGACAAGCTACAGAAGCAATTTTTATATTCCTAAAAAATTTCAGAATAGCAGACCCTGTCTACCCATAACATATTTACAAATATGCCAAGGAAGGAAGGCAAAACTTTACCTCTTATTCATCACTCATTTATTCATTCACTCAGCAAGCTAGACACGCACTTCATCAAAAATGATAAGGGCACACAAGGGTTTTATATTCTAGTAAGCAAATGACCTCAGTTATCATTCTCTTCCCACAGAACAACTCCTAAAAACTAATTTAAATTTAACCTTTTCAAACTTCAGGTGAGATTATTAAAAACTGAGAGAAGGGTTCCTTGATTAGAACACACTCCAAATTTTAAGGTAGAAGCACTGTTGGTAAAATCTTTTGCTTCATAACGAAGAGAATATAATGCATTACCATCACTACATTGTAGGTATAATATGAAAAGTTTCTGAAGTAGAGGATATTAGAGACCATTTGTAAGCCTAGTTCCCATCAAGAGATATTGGTCCTTTTACTGAAATACTTGCAATGAAAATAACTTCACCATTTAGACCGATGATCACTTTCATATTTAGACTGTGATATTTGTGAAGGGGAAAAAAACTAACTCAGTTTGATTAATCTCAAGTCTGGCTCTTCATGTCTTAATTCAAATCTTAATTCCATCCTCTTGGCAACCGAGTTCTCCCAATATCAGGGACCAGCCCAGTAAGCCTTCTCTGCCCCCTGCCACACACCCTCAAGTCCTTCAAGCACTTCTTCATGCAGTTCTGCACCCTTTACCAAAGCTCCAAGTCAGCTCTGACCAGTTAAGGAGAGCACTGGACTATCAATTCTGATTTTGGAGCTCCCCACCCATATATGAAAATACAGCCTAAAATAATATTAGTCTTTTAACAACTATCTGTTAGTTGAGCTTCAATCAATAAAATATTTTAAGTCATGTTTCCATATGTGGGCATTAAGCCAAATCTCCTTAATCCTGGAATTGATTATACCCAATTGAGAGTCTTTACAGTCATGTCTGGAAAAGTTCATCTTGTCATTCTATTGGCTGAAACAGCACAGAAGTTCCAAAGTGTTCTATTTCACAATATCTGAAATAAGGGGGAGAAATCTACTAGGGATAGAAGAAAAAAAAGTCAATATGCTATATAATGCAATAAGAAAACATAATCCTAAAACACAGTAGGAATTCAAAATAGACATTGAACAGCTAATTCCTACCCTTTTCAACTGAACAGACATTATTACTTCCCAAAAAATCAAAGAAACTTATGACAATTATAAATCAACAGCAAACAGGATATCCCAAAAGAAGAATGTAAACTATTAAAAAATGGAAACTCTAGGGATGAAATAATATACTATATGAACTTCAGATCTGAGATGGGAAAAGAAAGAATCAACTAATCTGAAGTTAGACCAGTAAAAAAAAAAAAAATCTATTCCAAAGAAGAAAGGGAGGAAAACTGAAGAAAAATGCACAGTGCCACAGATCTCTCGTCAACATCGAGCATTCAATCATATATGTAATTGGAGTAAAGGTAAAGGAAAACAAAAGCAGCAGAAAAATACTTGCAGAAATAATGGTTGAAAACTTTGCAATTTGGTTAAAACACATTAATTTAGGGATACAATGAATCCAAAGTAGAATAAACACAGTGAGAACTACACTTAGTGGCAACATAGGCATACTGCAGGAACCCAATGACAAGGAGAAAATATGGAAAGCAGCAAGAGGAAGATGATACATCACATACAGGGCAACAACAATAAGATGACCTTCTCGTCAGGAACAATGGAGCCAGGAGACAACAGAATGACAAATTCAAAGTATGGAGAGAAAAAAACAACCGAGTATTTACGCTGATGATAGATTTAAGTTAGAAATCAATAACAGAAGGAAGATAGGAAATACCTAAATGTGTGGGAATTAAACAACACACATTTAAATAGCCCATGAGTCAAAAAGGAAATTGCAAGGAAAATGAGAAAATACTGTACCTTGAACTAAATGACAACATATCAAAATGTGTCAGCTGTAGTTAAATCATTGCTTAAGAAATATTTATGTCTTGAAATGCTTTATAGTAGAAAAGCTTAAAATCAACTATAAAAGCCTCTACCTTAAAGAACTAGAAAAAGAAAAAGAAATGAAATCTAAAATAAGGTGAAAGTAGAAAATAATACAGATATGAATATGTTGTATTATATATTGGAATATTATATTATTATATATTATGATTATACATTATATGACTATATTATATACATATTAATGTTATATATATAATATATATGTACACATTATATATGCTATATATATCAGAATGCAAATAGAAACTGGACAAACCATAGAGTTGGCCCTTTGAAAAGATCAGCAAAATGGGTGAAGCCCAAGCTAGACTAATCAAGGAAAAACAAAGAGAGGAGTAAACGCAAATTATCCACATGAGGAAGGAAAGAAGGAATACTACCACAAATTACACAAAAGTAAAAAATAAAATAACCCTGTGAAGAACTTTATGCCAACCTATTTGACAGCTAGATAAACAGACAAATTCCTTGAAAGACAAACTGCCGCAACTAACTGAAGAAGTAGAAAATATCTAAATATCTGCTGAAGAAATTGAATTATTCATCAAAATCTGTCAAAAAGAAAGTCTAGGTCCAGATTGTGTCAACAGTGAAATGTATCAGACATCTTAGGAAGAAATAACACTAATACTACAGAAAGTGTTTTAGAAAACAGAGGACAGAGGAACACTTCCCAGCTCATTTTATCAGGCTGGAATTGTCCTGATACCAATGCTAGTCAAAGACATGAAAGGAAATAAAACCGCAAAGAAGTATCCTTCAGGGGCATAGACTAAAAATTCTTAATGAAATTTTAGCAGAATGTGTAGAAAAATAAAATTAAATCATAAAATTTTAAAGCCATGAAGGATGTTGGAGACGCAGCCTCTCTTCTTTTTTACTGCCCTCCACTCCTCTTTTAAGTAACAGTTTCAGCCAATTCCATACCCAGTTGTTTTCACCAGCTCAGCGTACAGGTCAGTTAGCAGACTTCACTTTTACGTGCATTTATGTTTACCGTTCATCTGATGGGGACACTTAAGAGTGAGGACACAGAGAAACCAAGGCACCGGATCACATAAGCCTGGATAATTGAGAGTTGGAGTCATAGTTGTGCCGGCTGGTGAGTGACCCCTGCAGAAGCCGGAAGGGAAAGAGAGTGAGGTCAGGTTGGTCATTCCGCGCTCCTCCCTGCAATGTTCTCCCCATCTGGTTGTCTGTCCGCCACAGCTCACTGCTCCTCTCAGGGCAGCCCACTCTGCAGGACGCTCTCCTTTCAGGTCCCAGTGACCACGACCTCCTCTGATCCCTTTAGACCTAGGGCTACAGCAGCACTTTCACTGTTACCAGCATGTAAATAATCCCTCTGTTTTGCTTCTCATTTTAGGCTCCTGACAGCAAGTGTTTACTTTCAGAGCCAATGAGAGATGATGCCCCATTTCTGGGAGAGAGCATATGCAAATCTTCCTCTGGACACAAACCTATGAGGATGTGAGGCTCGGGTCTGCCACTGCCAAATGGGAACCAGCCTGGGGATAAAGCCGGCACCAGATGAATCACACAGGAGACACTGTTTGAGCCCGCATCAAACCCTAAGTGAAGCCAGATTTAGGACAAACCACCAATAGTCCACGCAGGCCAACTGCTGGAATATCCATCCTTAGCGGCAAAATCAGCTGCTGTGTTTCCCCTCTCTGCTTCTCTGGTACATCCTTTCATTGTCCCTTCCAGTTTCCACCAGGATGGGTAGGGAGTGAGAGCAGAGAAAAAGTGAGAATTCCTCAAAATACTGTTATGATGCAAAAGGAAACCCGGTTTATCAAATCTGAACGGTTGAAAGAAACCATTTTGGCGAACTGATTATTGATGAGTTCACTTGCTTCTCTCTCTTTTTTTTTTTTTTTTTTTTTGCGGTACGCGGGCCTCTCACCGCTGTGGCCTCATCCCATTGCGGAGCACAGGCTCCGGACGCGCAGGCTCAGCGGCCATGGCTCACGGGCCCAGCCGCTCCGCGGCATGTGGGATCTTCCCGGACCGGGGCACGAACCCGCGTCCCCTGCATCGGCAGGCGGAATCTCAACCACTGCGCCACCAGGGAAGCCCTGCTTGCTTCTCATGAGGTCAGTTCTACCTGCAGAGTTTTCAGCTATGTGACCTAATAAATTCCCTTTTTGCCTAAGCTGGATCTGAATTCAGCTTTCCATCATGTCTGTCAGCTCTAACTGATAGAAGACTAGGTCACAAAGAATCCTGAAGGCTAAATAAACTACAGACAGCTCAGGGGAAAGCAGAGTGAAGAACAGAAGTTGCTGCATATTTTTAGTAGATGCTGAATGACAGTGAGCACAGAAGGACATTTAAGGGAGGTGTGTGAAGCGTAGAGCGGACCGCACTGATTGACGAGCACGCCTGTGATAATATTGACGAGTCCAATGCCCTAACACGCTCTAAGAATTGGTCCATTTACTATTTTTACCGAGGAGCAAGGAACAACTATTCTGTACATAGTTTCATGATTTTCTCAGTTCCAGGCATCTTGGTTGTAGATGATTTGCTTTTTTAAAAGAACAATGTTTTTGCTTGCACTCCTATTCATAACTTCATTTTCCTCTAGGTGTCAGTGAATTGTTTTTAAATTTGCCCCTCACTGGAAATAAACGGAGGGCCTTTGTTCTACCTTGAAGACTTCTTTCATTTGGCCATTACATCGATGAACAATGTACCACTGAAAAATTATAAACTGCTTTTGAATAAATCTTAAACCTGACAATATGAATTAAATTCAGACTTTTCATTTCAGTTTGAGCAAATATTTTCCCAGGAAGGAACTTTGTCTCTACAAAAACTTACATTTCCATGTCTATATTTTCTTCACATAAACAATATTAAATATAGCAGGAAAAAACACAACAGTGAATATATTCTTACCTACAACATAATACTACTCTGCATGAGAGGGCCAAATTAAGGAAGCTCTTCTCAACTTCAAAGTGGAGGGTATGCGCCAATGTTTTACCATCAATGATTAGGGCCAGGTCATTTTGTTTACCTAACGAGGCTCCAAGATCTTGGCAGTTCTGATTAATCACTTGTTGTGTTGCCTAAAACAAAGAGTGGGAAATTACGTTATCTTTATCATTTTAAATATAAATGAAAAGACCTTTTGAGTCTAGATGATAGATTAAGGTGTATGTTTAGCTCCTTCTTCCCTGTGAAAATCTCACAGAATTGAAATTTAAAAGTAAATAAATAACATGAAAAGATGTTTGAGATCATCAGTCATCAGGTAAATGCCAATCAAAACCACAATGAGATACCACTTCATACCCACTAGCATGACTAAAGTTAAAAAGTCAGATAATGACAAGTGTTGGTGAGGATGTACAGAAATCAGAACTCTCACACACTGCTGGTCAGAACGTAAAATGGTGCAGCAACTTCGGAAAATAGTCCAGCAGTTCCTCAAACAATTAAATGTAGAATTACTGAATGGCCCAGCAATTCCGCTCATTAGTGTATATACACTCAAGAGAAATGAAAACATATGTCTGCACAAAAATTTGTATATTAATGTACAAGCAGCAGCATTATTCATAATTAACCTAGGAGTGGAAACAAGCTGATGAATGGATAAACAAAACACAGTATATCCATAGAATGAAGTATTCTTTAGCTATAAGAAAAGGTATGAAGTGCTAATGCATGGTACAACATGGATGAACCTAGGAAACATGGTAAGTTAAAGAAGCCAGTCACAAAAGACTGCCTGTTATATGACTTGGTTAATATAAAAGTCCACAGAGGGCTTCCCTGGTGGCGCAGTGGTTGAGAGTCCGCCTGCCGATGCAGGGGACGAGGGTTCGTGCCCCAGTCTGGGAAGATCCCACATGCTGCAGAGCGGCTGGGCCCGTGAGCCATGGCCGCTGAGCCTGTGCGTCCGGAGCCTGTGTTCCGCAGTGGGAGAGGCCACAACAGTGAGAGGCCCACGTACCGCAAAAAAAAAAAAAAAAAAAAAAGTCCACAGAGGCAAATCCATAGAAACAGAAAGTAGGTGAGTGTTGTTCAGGGGTGAGGGGAAGGAGGGTGAGGGAGATGACAGCTAAAGGGTACGGAGTTTGTTTTAGAGATGATGAAAAGTTTCTAAAATTGATTCTGCGGATGGTTGCGTATATCTGTAAATGCATTTAAATCCACTGAATTATCTTAAACAGATTAATTTTATGCCATGTGAATTATATCTCAATAAAGCTGTTTTTGAAAAGGTATGTAAGTAGGAGTGAATTCTTAGTTGGAAAATATGGAAGGGTGCTAATAGCAGACGAGGAAGTTTGGGGAAATTTTGGAAAAACTTTAAAAGATGGGAACAGAATAATGGGGTCGACCTCTGTAAAACTGGGTATCAGGTGTCTAAGAGAGAAGGACTGTTATAGAGAAGGATTGTTGTAGAGACTCGATTTAAGATGCAGGAGTCACCTCCTGTACCTTATTTTTTTTTACCCCATCCTTTCTTTCCTTCAAAATTCACATAAACTGTTGAAAGCTCAAAATTCTACACAAATGACTCCCATGCCAGTGACAGAGTCAAAAATTCAAGTAGTGGAGTATTTCCACCAAAACATGTAATAAAATTTTAAGTGATATAGATTAACAGTAAATAAAATTCCTTCGTCAAATGCAAGTAGAATAAAAAAAACCTGAAAAATGTCAATTATCGCCATTTATTGAAAGACTGGTGGACCTGATGAGTGTACCAAATATTTATTGAGGTATCTGCTTTATTTCTACGACTCGCTAAAATGAATGCCATAAAGTAGTAAATCATATTTAAGAGTTTATTATTTAATTATTTTTCTGAACTATAATTTTCACTTATATTCAATGATCGATAGAGGAGATTTAAGATCTCTACTTTCCTTAACATATTAATAAATGAAATTTTAACAAAATGTGCCACTTGGGGAAAAATTTTAAAAAACACAACAGGTATCAAGCACCAAAAGATTTAATAAAATAATCCTCAAGCCTCTTTTTCTCAAAAGGCCTTCATTACTTATTACTCAAATGCAATAACTGTGTGTGTTTCCTGAATTAAAAGGTAATTTAATAATCCTTGAATTACTGAGGCCTTTAGATAAATTTGAAGGTCTAACAACGGATGGAATTCAAAAGCATGAAATTGGATTTCACACTGTGTAGGAACTATTAAGTGTAATATAACGTATACATCATATTAAACATTTCCACCTCTACTCTTTCCACACAGTTGACTGAATGTCCTGTGAATGGTCTCAAGTGACTGCAATTGTTCTTTCCCCCAAATGGAATCTGACAAAATTGAAGGCTGCCTCTACTTGAATAACTTTTCCCACGTTTCATTGATTACTGAACCCAAAACTTGGTGCTTTTCTAATTACCATATTGTTTTCAATTTTACAATTGCTTAGGAACACTAAATGCTTCAAGCTAAAACTGTCAGTTTTAATGTCTAATTTTTTTCTCTCGTCCCTAATTTATCTATCTGTCTCTCTTTTCCACTGCTTCTGCTGCCAGTACCAACAGGAGTTAAGCCAATTCTGACATAGTTCATTCTAGAATGTGATTTTGTGACTGACTTTCTGAAATTAATGACGTAAAATACAGTTTGGTAACCGGCAGCACATTATACGGGAAAATTGCTTTATATGCTCCAATTATGTAAAACAAGTACATCAGTAATTTCATAATGATTATTTAGGGATAACGAGCTTTGAAAATGATATAACTTTAAAGTTTACAGGAACTTAAAACATGAGAAAAGCTTAGAGAGACAAAGTACAAAGTACCACTATTTAAACCACAATATTTAAGTGAAATAAAGCCTTCCAAAGTAGGCTACACTAAGGCTAGCTTCTGGATAATTCTAATTACCTATGTAATCGAGACCAAAATGTTCACAAATTTTGTAAACACAAATTTGAACATATGTCTCAGTTTCCTTTGGTGTATATAATTTGGAGAAATAAAAACTATACTTCAGATTTCATCTAATATTTAACAATGGAGGGGCTTTATACAACATAAGAAGATGCTGCTCTATGTTATACTTTTAAAACCGTCATTAATGGGACTTCCCTGGTAGCGCAGTGGTTAAGAATCCACCTGCCAATGCAGGGGACACGGGTTCGAGCCCTGGTCCGGGAAGATCCCACATACCGCAGAACAACTAAGCCCATGTGCCACAACTACTGAGCCTGCGCTCTAGAGCCCACGCACCACAACTAGTAAGTCCACACGCCACAACTACTGAAGCCTGTACGCCTAGAGCCCATGCTCCGCGGTAAGAGAAGCCACCGCAATGAGAAGCCCACACACTGCAACAAAGAGTAGCCCCCGCTCGCTGCAACTAGAGAAAGCCCACGTGCAACAATGAAGACCCAACGGAGCCAAAAATGAATCAATTTTTTTAAAGGCCTTATTAATAGTACAAAAGCTATATACAACCCCAAACACATGCAAACTAAATTGAGAAATAAAGAAAAATGATAGAAAAGATACCATCACTATTATATGCTATGAAGAGGTAAGACATGAATTGGCTGCTCCTTAAACATGATGAGATTTCTTTTCTTCTATTATGTTGAATACTTTATTGAGGTATAATAGGCAGACAGTAAAATGCACAAATCTTAAACGTACAGCTCAATGAATCTTTACACACACACACACACACACACGCTTGCTTCCAGTTAAGAACCATGACTGCTATATATGCAATAAAAGTGTTTATTCAGAAGAAAACTTAAAGTTCTAATAAAAAGTGATTATTTGATACACAAAAATCAAGAAACTGGGGGGAAATGGTTTAGATTAAAAATATACACTTAGTGAAATAGAATATAACATAAAAAGCAGAAAAAAAACCCATGAAAATCTAAAGTTATGTAAATCTATGAGTAAAGTATAAAAGACTATTTTTATCTTAATTTCTTTCAAACACACTGAACTGTTTAAAGCAAAAATTATACCATCAGCTTATGAGGATTTAACGTATTAAGATAAATACATTTAAATGAGCGTATAGGAAAACTATAAAAGTTCAGCAGAGGGTAGGAAATAAACCTCTACGATTCTAGGTTTCTGTAAGACTGTCACTGCCGTTCTTACACCAAAAAAGCTGAACGTACTGAATATCAACTCCACTTGCATCCGTCAGAGAACTGAGGTTACAGGACTAACTGCCACCCCAGAATCTGGACAGACGTGTGGACACGGAGAATTACAGCTGAGATCTGTTTATCTGGAGCAGAAGCTGGAGCCAAGAGCGAGTAGGAACACTTAAAGGGTAATTTTGAGGAATTGTTGGAGGCTGAGTGTGGACTAGTACGAAAGTGAGTGTGATCTTAGCGGGTGGCCCTCACACTTCTGTGCGCTTACCTCTGAGAACCTCACAGTGAGATTCTCATGGTGAAGAGCTAAAGCAATTCCCCTCATGGCTCAGCAGAAGGAGGGGAAAAGTAACCGTTTTGAAATATGCCCAGAGCATTCTCCACTGCAAAGCCTAGTCTCCCAGGTTAAAGACTTTACCAGAACTTTATCCCACCTGGAGGGAAAGGCATTTACCCAACCCCAGCCCCCTTGGGCCTCCCTGTCTCACCTAAGGGGAGAAAGAAAGCACTAAGAAACACTTATGAAGACACAGGGGCACAGTTTCAGTTAAAGACTGAGATTTAATCGTAAGATTACAGAACACTTCCCCTCCCACACACCCTAACACCACACCCACAGGGCTGTAAAAACACTAACAGAAAGGAAGAATGTCCTTTATGGGCTCAACAGTAGACTGGACACAGCGGAGGAAAGAGTTAACAAGCTTAAAGATATGTCAACAGAAACTTCCCAAAGTGAAATTCAGAGAGGAAAAAAAAAAAAAAAAAAACCACAACAGAATATTCAAGAACTGTGGGACAATCTAAAAGGTCCAACATACAAGCAATTGTAATACTAGAAGGAGAAGAAATAGAGAACAGAAGGAAAAGTTTGAGTACTAATGACTGAAAATCTTCCAAAATTAACTGCAGACACAAGAGCATAGACCCAGGAAGTTCAGAAAATACCAAGAAGGATAAATGCCAAAAATCTACACCTAGGCATATCATATTCAAAGTACATAAAACCAAAAACAAAGAGGAAATCTTGCAAGAATCCAGAGCGGGGAAAAAATCCACCTTACCTGTAGACGAATAAAGATAAGAAATGATAGAATTCTCATCACAAACCTTGCAGTCAAGAAGAAAGTAAAATATTTAAAGTATTGAAAGAACAAGAAACCCCAACCTCAAATTCTATATCCAGTGAAATTAACCTTCAAAGTGGAAGAGAAATAAAAACTTTCTCAGACAAACAAAAACTGAGGAAATCCATCGCCAGCAGATCTGCCTTGTAAGAAATATTTTTTAAAGTTTTTCGTAGAGAAGAATGATGTCAGAAACTCAGACCTACATTTTTTAAAAGGAAGTGTCAGAAAAGGAATAAATGAAATCTATTTAGAATTCTTTAAAAATGAGTCTAAGAAAATGATACAGTAAAAATTATTTAACAGAACTAGCCATTTAACTTTTAAGGGCAAGGATGTTCAATACTGAACTCCAAAGTTCTTTCATTCTTTTTTTTTTTTGCGGTACGCGGGCCTCTCACTGTTGTGGCCTCTCCCGTTGCGGAGCACAGGCTCCGGACGCACAGGCTCAGCGGCCATGGCTCACGGGCCCAGCCGCTCCGCGGCATGTGGGATCTTCCCGGACCGGGGCACGAACCACGCGTCCCCTGCATCGGCAGGCGGACTCTCAACCACAGCGCCACCAGGGAAGCCCTGTACTGGTTTCTTTATACATCACCAAGCACTGCTGATACTTTCAGCTAAATCTATGTAGGCAACACACAGAGTTCTCAGACCTGCGAGAGAGGGATAACCTGGACAGGCTTCCAGGGATCAGGGAGAAGGAGAAATTGAAAACAAAATCCGAAAGCATTTCAGAGCCCGTGGGACAGAGAAGGCCTTCGCGTGGCCCTGCCGGACCTGCCCTGGCCTCCCTACTGATCCTCCTTCGTCCCCTCCCCCTTGCTCACTGTGGCGCCCTGCCAGTCCTCTTATTTCCCAACACTCGGACTTGCTTTTCCCTCTACTGGAACACTTTCTCCTGGAGAGCCCGTGGTTCTCCCTCCCTTCCTGCAGTCTCTGCCTAACTCACCCCATACAGAGAGCACCCCATCCCTCTGTTCCCTTCATCCTGCTTACTTCCTCTGCATAGCACTCATCACTCCACGACATCATCTATTACTGGCAAATTCCCACAGGGCATTAGCTCTCTATGTTTTGTTCACTTCTGTCCTGGAAGCTGAGAACAGTGCATGGCACTGAACAGATGCTCAATAACTATTTGTTGAACGGAGGAAAGAACCAATGAGGCTTCAGTTTCCAAGTTAGTACGCCAGAAAGTCACCAAAATAACAGAAAATGAATCTAAATCCCATTTTGCAAGAACTTGTTTGAAAAACATTTTTTCCTTACACCAGACTGTAGTATTTTAGGCTAACTCCTGTAAAACATTCAAATACTTAAGGATTCCCTAGAAACGAATGCTCTGCAGAAGAGCTATAGAAGTTGTTATTCTGCTTTGAGCTCAATTGTAATATAGTTCCCATACGCTTCTACCTATTGTAACCTGCTTACAGCACAGGTATATTTTCAGATAGCAGTAAGAGGCCCAAAATGCAAATTTGCAAACTATCCATACTTTCAGACAAGACGCACGTGTCTGTAGGAAGCAGCAGCTTATAAACTAAAAGGAGAAAGCGGGCTACAGCTTTCAAGGTATTATTAGCTTTACCTTTATTTGATATTACACCTTGCTTTGCAAAGCTTCTATAAACCTTTCAGTAGATGTGGTTCTTATTCAAAACTCACTCAAGGAATTTTCTTTCCTTAAGAGATGGATGATAAGTCAAAATCAGAAGGATAAGAGAATGGCAGGAAAATATCAGCTATGTCAGCATTCTGAGTTATATGCACAAAATAATTAACTTCAAAATACATAACGAACTGGAAAAACCTCCCTTTTTCTCCGACTATAGGCGTAGTTCCTACTACAGCTTGATAAAAGGTAACGCTTAGCAGAAACAGATAATAGACTGAAGACGCTGCCTTAGGAATAAAGGAAGGGCCACATAGTAAAAACATACATTTTACTGTTTGTGCGTAAGCACAAAATACTGTTGGAAGTGGGAGGAAGGGAAAATACTAGTAATGTCTTGACAGGGTTTGTTTGGGGAACCATTTATTTTTAAGCAAACAGAAGGCACACAAGGTCTCACATACCATCAAGCTCCCCCTTGCCCACCGGTGGGCCTGAGCATCAGTGACATGCATTGAGGCTACAATTTCAACAGTTGAGAACAGCATTACGAAAGGGAAATCGATTCTAAACAATTTTCACTTACCTTCTTTGGCAAAACATTCCAGATGGGCTAAAGTCTCCTCCACAAAGAGAGAATCTTCTGAAAGTCTCTCATAAATCACTGAATCCTATAGAAAACACACACAAATACACACACTGTGATTAACATTTAAGCATGACAGTCTAAATTATAAATACTATTCTACAATTTTATTGTTATAGCTAATAGATGTGAAGGAGCTGAAGCAGCCCCAGTGAAGGCACAATTCCAGGAAAAAATATGCTACATACAGAGGGACAAAGACAAGGAACACAGCAGATTTCTCATTGGGACAATGCAAGTGGGAAGCCAGCGGAGCAAAGTCTTTACAGCACTGAAAGAAAAAATGGTCAGCCTGGAATTCTATACTCAGCAAAAATTGATTTCAAGATGAAGATTAGAAAAAAATGAAGATGAAATGAAGATTTTTTTTCCAACTTAGGCTGAAAAAATTTATCACCACCAGATCTACTGTATAAGATATGGTAAAGGAACTCCTTCAGATAAAAATCATTATACCAAATGTTAACATGGGTCTGAAGAGCACTGAAAATGGTATTCACATGAGTATATATACATTATTTTTCTTGTTATTTAACACTAGAACCAACTACATGATCCCTAGAAGAAACACACTTTAAAGACACAAATGGGCTAAAGGAAAGAAAAAGCTATACCATACTAATACTAATCAAAAGAAATCTGAAGGAACAAATTGGTAAATTGACCTAGATCAAAGTTACTAACTTCTGAACTTCAAAAGATACAGTTAAGGAAATGAAAAGTTAAGCCACAGACTGGAAGAAATATGGGAACATATGTATATGTAAAACTGATTCACTTTGTTATAAAGCAGAAACTAACACACCATTGTAAAGCAATTATACTCCAATAAAGATGTAAATATATATATATATTTGCAAGTAATATATCTGATAAAGGACTTGTTTCTAAAATAAGTAAGAACTCTCAAAACTCAATAAGAAAAAAAGTTACTTAAAAAAAAAGTTAACTATTTAAACACGTTTTAACAAGGAAAATAAGTGGATGGTGTGTAAAAAAGAGTTGACATGGCAGATCAGAGACTGCTATCCTTCGAAAGACCTACTTACAAAATTGGCCCTTGACTGGCATCTAGAAATTTGCTGGTAAACAATTCTCTAAACTGATACAAACTTTCCCTGTGTGACCCCCATGGGATTCCTCCAGGCACTGCTCATGTCTTTGCTTTTGTGATCTAGCTGTATATCTTTATTACATTGCTGTAATGAATCTTAGCCATGAGCACAGCTATATGCTTAGTCCCATGAATCCTTTTAGAGATTCACTAAAAGCATAGGGGTGGTCTTGGGAACCCCCATCACAGATGGCAAATAAACATATGAAAAGATGTTTGCTATCATCAGTCAGCATGGAAATGTAAATTACATTCACAATGAGGTACACACCTATTAGAATGGCAAAATTAAATAGACTAACCAGGCCAAGTGTTGGTGACAACTGCTGGTAGGAATGTAACTACAATTTGGTGGTTTCCTAAGAAGTTGAAATATGCCTACCACATGATCCAGTAACTTTACTCCTAGTTATTTATCAAATAGAGATAAGACCATATGTCCATACAAAGAGTTGCAAACAAATGCTCATAGGAGCATTCTTTGTAGTAGCCCAAACTGCAAACAAAATGTCCAGCAACAAATGAACAGATGAACAAATGCTGGTATATCCATTCAATGGAATCTACTCGGCAATACAAAGAAATGAACTACTGGTACAAGCTACAACATGAATGAATTTTAAAATAATTATGAGTGAAAGAAGCCAGACAAAAAGTCATATACACTATATGACTTTGTATAAAACTTTAGTAATTGAAATGAATCTATAGTGACAGAAAGCAGATCAGCGTCAAAACTTAACAAAATGGGGCTTCCCTGGTGGCGCAGTGGTTGCGAGTCCGCCTGCTGAAGCAGGGGACGCGGGTTCGTGCCCCGGTCCGGGAAGATCCCACATGCCGCGGAGCGGCTGGGCCCGTGAGCCATGGCCGCTGAGCCTGCGCGTCCGGAGCCTGTGCTCCGCAGCGGGAGAGGCCACGACAGTGAGAGGCCCGCGTACCGCAAAAAAAAAAAAACTTAACAAGATGTACATTTTAAATATGTACCATTTATTTTATGTCAAGTTTACCTCAGTAAAGCTGGGTTTCTTAAGGTACACACGGTAGTGAACAAATACATAGGTGCTTTATAAAAAGAGATTTACAGACGTAAAGCGAATTCCTGAGACACCAAATCCAAGCACTTTGGGCTTGGAACTGGGATCAACATTCCTGCTGCAAACCCTTAGCGTCAACCATCTAATCACTGGTTCTCAAAAAAACAACTGAGTGACAGCAAGTTTTCACTGACATAAAAGTTTAGTAAAATTATGGTGTGAGCCACCACAAATTTCAATGGGCTCAGCTTGGGCGGGGGGCGGGAAGCCTTCTCGGTTGCCCTGAGATGGACTTTTCAATCTTGGGTAATGCTGTTAACAACCAGTGATAACAGCGCATACAAAGTAACAACGTTTTAAAATATTGTGGGCGTTTGGGGGTTTTGTTGAGCACGAGCCACTTTTCTCCTTGCTTGGCCCTGCAATAAACCATTCTTTGCTTTTAAAAAATTAAATAATAAAATAAAACATTGTGAAGTTGTAAAAGGCTTGCTGTAAGTTGTTGGAACATAGAGGGAAGGAGTTACATGAATAATGAATCCCACTGTGTTTATATGAAATGTCCAAGAAAGACAAATCTATAGAAACAAAAAGTAGATTCGTGGCTGTTGGGAGCCGGAAGTAGGACTAGGGAGTTACTGCAAACGGGCAGGAGAGATCTTGTTGGGGTGATGCAGACGTAAAATCGGATTCTGATGATTGCACAGCCCTGTAAATGTGCTAAAAACCATCGACTTGTACACTTAAAATGAGTGTTTTCATGGTGTAGAAATTAAACCTCAATAAAACTGTTCAAAAAAACCCCCCAAAAACCGAATCCCAGAACTTACAGCCCCTTTGCAGTAGAGCTGGAGCTGTCCTGTAGGAGTTCGCACAATTACAGACATCCTCTTTCTAGTACTAAAACAATGGAGTGTATTATTAGTTTCTAGTTTCCTCAGTACATGACACTAATACCCACACAAAAAATTCAAAGTCCAAAGAATTCTAATCGAGTCCTCAGCTGCTCATTGCTGAAAAGGGCAGCATGTTTCTTGCCAGCCTCTTCTTTCTTCTTTACCTGCTTCCTTTAACTGAGATTCTAATTATAAATCTCCACCTTCTTCTCCTACTATTCTTTTCTTCCATGGAAGTTTACTGACACAAATATATGTAATAGATTATATTATGATATATTATATTAATATAATTACAGATATATTATGATATTTTATATTAATATGTACTATTATAACATAGTACATGACATCTATAATGTAATATACCTTTCTTATGTTTTATATGTACAAATATTACTTATAATATAATACATAAATTTTATATACATGTAATATATTTAAAATAATCATGAAAATTTGATGAGGAAAGGGGAAAGCAGCCCTGGGTCTGTGTATTATTCAGTCCTCACACCATCTTTATCAACTAGGCCGTCCTGCCCCCACTTTGCTGCACAGAGATGTTAAATTCCTCCTCACCATCTCATTCGCCCACGCTTCACCCTCCTGTCATCGTTCGATTATCAGCCCAAGTCCCACCTCCGCACAAAGGCTCCCAGGCCCCTCAGAGATAAACCTCCACCACCAGTGGTACTGCTGTCTCCATCAGATACTCTTCAATATTCTTTATCACCCTCCTAACGACTGGGAATTACCTTGTTTGTTTACTAAAGCAGGGGACCCCACAAACAGGTGGTCCACCCTAGTCCTAGAACAGTATTCTAGAAAAATATTTGTAGCTGCATAGACTGCAATTCTCCCCATGAAGACGAAAATACGTTTTGTTTGCTTTTTTTACATTCTTTAACTTTTCTTTCACCTCTGGAGGCACAGATTGGTTGACAATACCAAGGACTTTGGAACCAGATAGACTTGGATTTGAACTCTGATTCTGCCACTTATTTGCTTAGCGACTTTGGGAAGGTCATTTAAATGGAGCCCCAGCTGCCGGTCTTTCAAGTGCAATGACCACCATTGGCCTCAGAGGACTGCTCTGTGTGTGTCCAGCAGACCAGCTGGGCTTTCAGTCATTAGTTCCTCCACATTTTCAAGCTCTTCCAACAGAAAGAATTTTATTTGTCTTCAGGAATAAGATTGATCAAGAAAAGGACGTTCAAGCTTGGAAGAGAAGTAAGAGGTTCATAGAAATGATTGCCGAAGGAGAGAAGGAAGATCTCCTTCAGGGAGAAGAAAACCCTAGTGAAATCCAAACAAGCCTCAGAGAAGAGTGTTCCAATTAAAATAACAGTAATAATAAACACTCATACCAAGTGCTCTATCAGTTTTTACTATGTGCCGGGCATTGTGATTTAATCTTCACAACAATCCTGTGAGGCGGACACCATTGCTAGCCCCATTTTATAGATCAAGAAACTGTGGCACAGAGAGGTTAGGTGGCCAGGAAGGTCATGAGCTAGTAAGTAACAGAACCACAACTACGACCACAAGTGATCCTTTTCCCTCCTCTGTCCCCCAAGCTTTTTTCACCCTCTCACCCTCCTCTCCACATGCACCCATGCTTGTCATCTCCCTTCTCCCCTTCTTCCTTCTCTGGTCCGCTGGCCTCTGTCAATATAGCCACCAAGGAGCAAAATGAGCCGCTGAGACGGCAACTCTGCCAGGTCACCAAGCAGAGAGTGCCAGTAAGAAAAGATGTTTCCCACCCCCCAGGAGCCCCATGGCCATGCCTGCCGAAAACACAGTCTTCATCTGTCCCCACCTCACTGCCAACAGTCTAAGCTAGAGCTCCCACCCTCCAAGGATGGTCCCGGTGACCAATCTTACAGTGGAACGCTTCATCTAGAAGGGACTTTCCAACAGGGATAAAGGATTAGCAATTGTTTTAAATACTTAGAAAGCTGTTAGAACACTACTCAAAGCAAATGAATCATTTAAGTGTTACCTAACTAGGAGAGCAGGTGTTAATGACAGGAAATGACTGCTCTAGTGGTTAGCAGTAGTCAAATATTAAGAAAGGAGAAAATTAGAATGAATACTGAGATGTATTTTCTTGTAACAAAGTTCTTAGAAAAATCTTTCCTAGGACTTCCTTGGCTGTCCAGTGGTTAGGACTCCATGCTTCCACTGCAGCGGGCACAGGTTCAATCCCTGGTTGGGGAGATAAGATCCCGCATGCCACCTGGCATGGGCAAAAAAAAAAAAAAAAAATCTCCTACAGAGGGGGTAACAACAACTTTTCTGAGGTTTAAAGGGTTTTTTTTTTAATGTCATTGGGAAACAAGACTTTAAAAATACAATTAAAAAAAATCATCTGGCTTAAGGAAGAACGAATGATTTACTTATTAATTTCCTTTTCTAATTTTTCAAATTTCACATTAGAAATAGTGAAATGGTCCAAGAGATATGACTTCATGAGTCTGGAGGAAAATCCAATGGAAATAAAACCATCACCAATATCCTGACAACATGCTTTGGGGAACCAGGCCACAGATGCTGAGGTGTAAGAGGAAAGAAGGATGCACATTGTTTGGGAAAAAATTAATCAAATCACTGTCTATTTTTAAAGAAACAGTTTTTGGTTTATTTGTGAAAATAATGTTCAATATCCATTTGTTAAAAAAGAGACAATAGGCCCAAAATGGAGTCGTGTGCTCAGCCCACATCCCCAAACTGAGACTCAATACCTGACCTAACTGCAATTTCAGACTCTCCCAGGAATCTAATCTTAATCAGTCAGTGTGGAATCACCTGGTCAGCACTAGTGAGGTAACCTGAGTGACAGACCTCAGGGTGAGGAAGATGACCTTGTCCCAAACAATCTACTTCATGCTCGTATTCTCTTTGTCCCGCCCCATCTGCCTATAAAAGTCTTCCACTTTGTACAACTCCTGAGAGCTACTTTATCTGCTCGATGGGATGCTGCCCAACTCATGCATCACTGAATAAAGCCAGTAAGATCTTTAAAATCTACTCAGTTGAATTTTGCTTTTTAAGGCAAAAATCTATTCACCAAATATTTATTGAGTATTTGCTGGATACCAGCCCCTGCAGGAGGTGACTCCTGCCCTCCTGGAACTTACAGTCTAGTTAGTTAGCGACACAGTTGTTAAGTTGTAACCCAGATTTGAAATCGCAGCTCTGACTATGACAAGTGCTAGAAAGGAGAGGTCAAGAACCTGCACCAACTACAAAAGGGAATTTTTACTAGAGAAGAGAAGACTGAGCTGAGATGAAAGGCCGTGTAGAAGCTAACTAGAATTTCAGGATTCTGTATTAAGGTTTTGATTTACATTGCCAAATCTCAGTTGAATAGTCACAGCAAGAGCCCTGGGAAACACACAAATAGAATGAAAAGGCAGCTTACCTAGAAAATTCCAGGACAATAAGAATTTCAAATGTGAATTCTTCTCCCATCTACAAGAAGATAAGACAACATATTCTTACCTGAGGAAAAAAGTATTCATCTCACAAAATAACTCATTCTCCCAATCACAAACTAGTTTTACCCTCCAAATACATATCTTTTGCAAAATATAAATCTTCCTGCAAGTCCGATGAGATAATGGTGCCCTCCTCTGGTAAGAATATTGTTTGCAACCTAGGCAATATTAGCAAAAGTGCTTCTGACAGTGACAATTTAAGACTGAAACACCTCTTCTCTCTTCCATCTAAAATCCAAGCGATTAGAAACATTGTATGAACACTCTCAGTTGTAAGGTTACAAGCAGTAAGGGAGAAAATCAGCAGAGAGAAATGAGAACAAATAAATCTTTTAATAAAATTGCACGGATCAAATGAAATCCTTAATGCTTAGATAATTGGAAGAGGTAAGCATGAAAAGAGGTAGCATGCTAAAAAATGTACCAATGAAATATGCATTCTTTTCTAAATTTTTCCAGTTACGGCCTCTTGGATTCCTGTAACCATGATCAATTTATCTCTGCATCTACCAGCTCTCAGCTTCACCACTGCAGAAGTTCAAATGTGATGTATGATATTTATATACATATCTATGTGATATAAAGATGAATTAATCAGTCCATTCTAGCAAGGACTCAACGTCTAGTGAGCATCTCTAACCATTGCATTACTACTAGGAAAAAAAAACAGTGCATTGGGGCTTCCCTGGTGGCGCAGTGGTTGAGAGTCTGCCTGCCGATGCAGGGGACACGGGTTCGTGCCCCGGTCTGGGAAGATCCCACATGCCGCGGAGCGGCTGGGCCTGTGAGCCATGGCCGCCGGGTCTACGCGTCCGGATCCTGTGCTCTGCAACAGGAGAGGCCACAACAGCATACCGCAAAAAAAAAAAAGTATTTAGAGAGCAAAGATGGTGTTCTTTCTCTTTAAACCCTCAAATTACGTGAGTTTTTAGAAAACAAGAAGTTCAGTCTATAAGAATTCTATATGTAATATTTATTTCGTTCAGAAGCCATACTCTTCTCTTTGTTGTACACTGGAGGTGAAATTCTATGGTAATACACAAAGTAAACTTCAAGTCATCAAACCTAAGAAATTCAGAAGTCCAAGTTCATTTTCCTACCACAAGAAATCTCATTAAAAGTACCTAGAAAACACTAAGTAGATAGACACTGATATACTGATATATATATATATATATATATATATATATATATATCTCAGATGAAAAAGAAAACCAAACCCAAAGCCATTTTAATCATGATCACAAGTATAATACTCGTTTTAAAGACAAATGGAAATTCTGTAGGTGATCATTTCTGTCCAACAAATACTGCAAAGCAATGTGGAGTTAAACAGTTTTAAGATCTTTGTATTATTCAGAAAGAATAGATGGATACCAACTATTTGTTAAATAAAGTCACCAGAAATGATAATAAAAGGCAGAAGCTTTCACGTAAGCTTTCATAAACATTTGTTTTTATTTTTAGAAACAACTGATTTTTGTATACTGATTTTGTATCATGCAACTTTGCTGGATTTATTATTGCTTAGAGGTTTTTGGTGGAGTCTTTAGGGTTTTCTATACATATCATGTCATCTGCCAAAAAAGACAGCTTTGATTCTTCCGTTCTGATTTGGATGCCTTATATTTATTTTTCTTGCCTAATTACTGTGGCTAGGACTTTCAATACTAAGCTGAATAAAAGTAGTGAGAGTAGGCATCCTTGTTTTATTTCTGATTTTAGAGGAATAACTTTCAATTTTTCATTGAGTATAATTTCAACTGTGAGCTTGTCATATACACCCTTTATTATGTTGAAATATGTTCCCTCTGTAGACACTTTGTTGACATTTTTATCATACATGGATGTTGAATTTTGTCAAATGCTTTTTCTGCATCTGTTGAGATGATTACATGATTCTTATCCATCATTTTTTAAAAATTGTATTTATTTAATTTATTTAATTACATAAATTTATTATTTAATTAAATAATTAATTTAATTATTATTTAATTACATAATTTATTTAATAGTCACAGGAAATGCTACCAGAGAAGGCAATGCTTCATCTTGGTCTGAAAGGCTTAGTTGCTCCGCGGCATGTGGGATTTTCCCGGACCAGGGCTCGAACCCATGTCCCCTGCATTGGCAGGTGGATTCTTAACCACTGCGCCACCAGGGAAGCCCTCCTCATTTCGTTCATGTGGTGGATCATACTGTTCGATTTGTGGATGTTGAACCAGCCTTGCACTCCTAGAATAAATCATCATGATGTATGATTTTTTCAATGTATTGTTGAATTTGATTTGCCAATATTTGGTTGAGGATTTTGGCATCCAAGTTTATCAGGGATATTGGCCTGTAATTTTCTTTTCTTGTGGTGTCCTTGTCTCTGCTGGTAAATGGTGAAACCAGGATTCACACTCAGGAAGTTTAACTCCAAAATTCTGCCTTTCACCATAATTTATATGTGGCCTCCAATTAATTGAAAGAAGGAAAACCATAATCTAGTAAAAAAAATATATTGAGAACAAAAAATAGATAGAAAAAACTTAACAATTACAAGTCTTTCTCCTTTTAGATACTATACAACAGTGACAGTTGTTGTACCTTTTTTTTTTTTTCAGCTTTACTGTAGTATAATTGACAAAAAATCGTGGCAGTTCTTAAAGGTGAATTTTAACTTGTAAAGATGCCAGTGTCATTTAAAAGGTAACCAACATCTGTCTGTTGGTAACCTGGCATCATTCCTGCCTCTTGCTATTGAATGGCAGGGTCTAGAGGCCCGAGGCTACCTTTTTCCCAATCTCTTGTCAGCAGGTTAGTTTCTACCATTGAGAGGAATTTTCAGTAAAGAGCTAGAAGTTCTACTGCTTCCCTTCTGGTAGCTGTGGGCAGATGCATGGGTTTGGCAGGTATGGAATTTTGCAGCACTTTCTGGATGCTTCCCTGTGGGTCACCTGCCTTAGGGAGGCATAATCACGGCCACCTCCCAGGCTCCAGGGTCCCTGTGGCTCCCTCAGAGATAAGTGAAACCCTGGGAGCTCCCCACAGCTTTTCCTACCTATCCCTCCAGCTCTTCCACTCTTTCGTAAGCACATAATAACCTGTATTTGGTCTGTTCTACTTGCAACCCATGATGCAATATCATTAATATTTGAACAAACTGTACTCCTGAAGCTCCACGTGTGTGTCATACTATCTATAGCCCATGGCTACATTTAATATTTGAACTCTGCACATGCTCTCCCTGAATCCACCTTCTGTGAAGCTCCCATCACCCTGCTCAGCCCTGGAGAGGCCCTCATCTGCCTAAGCTCTTCATTAAGATTGGATGCTCTGGCCATGGCATACACATTATTTCCCTTAAAATGCATATCTTCATCCTGCAGGAAACAAACAAAATCGCCAAGCCACACAATCAGAACTTGGCTCAAAATTTTTTCAGGAAATCTATACTGCCCCTGATCTTTCAATGTACGTGACATGTAGAAAAAATTCACAGTGGAGAGTCAAGAATACTTGGTTTTGGACCCGTATGTGCTAGTTTCTCACATAGGTTGGCAGTCGATTCAGGAGAAGCAAAGCCATGTGGAAACAAACATCGAGGTGATTCGGAAGACGTGGCTTTCAAATCCTGGCTCTGCCTCAGACACGCTGTGTGGCCTTGAGTGTGTCTCAGTTACTACATCTATCAAATGGGAGCAGTAACAGGGACCTCGCAGGAGTACTCATAGAGCTACTGCAAAAATCAAATGAGAATACAAATATTTGAAAGGACTTTGTCTAATTTTGTGGTTGCTAAAATAATATTCTCTTCCAAATGATGGTAGTTCATTGACCTATTGGGAGAATCATGTTCAGGTGACATCCAGCAAGAATTTTATTTCAAAGAAAAATATTTTGAAAAACAACTAAAGGTTACAACCCCACATTCAAATTGGAATATTTGTTCAGTCACAACTTACGAAGTATTAACTTCAGTCAACACATGGTTGTCACCTAAGAAATCTTTTTCTTAATTTGAAGGAACTCTGGAAAGGCTTTGTTTCTGTCATTCTTGCCAAGCTCTGTAAATCTATTGTAAGTCTAATGGAATGGAAGGTATAACAAATATAAATGTTTGTGCACCCAACATAGGAGCACCTCAATACATAAGGCAAATACTAATAACCATGAAAGGGAAAATCGACAGTAACACAATAATAGTAGGGGACTTTAACATCCCACTTACACCAATGGACAGATCATCGAAACAGAAAATAAATAAGGAAACACAGCTTTAAATGACACAATACCAGATAGATTTAATTGATATTTATAGAACATTCCACCCGACAGTGGCAGAATACACTTTCTTCTCAAGTGCACATGGAACATTCTCCACGATAGATCACATCTTGGGTCACAAATCAAGCCTCGGAAAATTTAAGAAAATTGAAATCGTATCAAGCATCTTTTCTGACCACAGTGCTGTGAGATTGGAAATCAACTACAGGAAAAAAACTGTAAAAACCACAAATACATGGAGGCTAAACAGTGCGCTACTATATAACCAAGAGATCACTGAATAAATCAAAGAAGATATAAAAAAATACACAGAAACAAATGACAACAAAAACACGATGACCCAAAACCTATGGGACGCAGCAAAAGCAGTTCTAAGAGGGAAGTTTATAGCAATTCAATCTCACCCTGAGAAACAAGAAAAATAGCAAATAAACAATCTAACCCTACACTTAAAACAACTAGAGAAAGAAGAAGAAAACCAAAAGTCAGTAGAAGGAAAGAAATCATAAAGATCAAAGCAGAAATAAATGAAATAGAAACAAGAAAACAATAGCAAAGATCAATAAAACTAAAAGCTGGTTCTTTGAGAAGATAAACAAAATTGATAAACCCTTAGCCAGACTCATCAAGAAAAAAAGGGAGAGGACGCAAATCAATAAAATTAGAAATGAAAAAGGAGAAATCACAACTGACACTGCAGAAATACAAAGGATTATAAGAGACTACTACAAACACTTATATGCCAGTAAAATGGACAACCATGAAGAAATAGACAAATTCTTGGAAGGGTACAATTTTCCAAGACTGAACCAGGAAGAATTAGAAAATATAGAGAGACATTTCACAAGTAATGAAATCGAAACTGTAATTTAAAATCTTCCAACAAACAGAAGTCCAGGACCAGATGGCTTCACAGGCGAATTCTATCAAACATTTAGAGAAGAGCTAACACCGATCCTTCTCAAACTCTTCCAAAAAATTGCAGAGGGAGGAACACTCCCAAATTCATTCTACAAAGCCACCATCACTGTGACACCAAAATCAGAAAAAGATGTCACAAAAAAAGAAAATTATAGACCAATATCACTGATGAACATAAATGCAAAAATCCTGAACAAAATACTAGCAAACAGAATCCAACAACACATTAAAAGGATCATATACCATGACCAACTGGGATATATCCCAGGGATGCAAGGATTCTTCAATATACGCAAATCAATCAATGGGATACACTACATTAACAAATTAAGGAATAAAAACCATATGATTATATCAATAAATGCAGAAAAAGATTTTGACAAAATTCAACACCCATTTATGATAGAAAATGGGCATAGAGGGAACCTACCTCAACATAATAAAGGCCATATATGGCAACCCCACAGCAAGCATCAT